CGGAGCCGCGTCCCGGCCAGGGCCGGCTCCCGAACCGGAGCAGAGCCAACGCGGAACCCGCTGCCATGAACCCCTGCACGCGGCTTCGCTTCCTGTTTCGGTTATTGCATGTGCTGTGTTTGGGCTTCTGCTGCACAAAGGGTCATTTCCTCTTTTTTTTTTTTTAAAAAGCATTCCTTTTCTGGTCAGAATTCACCGATAGCCTCCTGGCTGCAAGCACATTAATAATTACTTCTTATCTTTGAAGTCAATATTGTGGTAATAATCTCTAGCAGAATTGCCAAAAAATTGCCCAGTGATGTGTTTTCAGCGTGTTGTACGTAGTCTTACGGAGCACGCTGCTGCGTTTTAGAGGCTGACAGACACAGTATCGCCTTTTCACTACCTCCTTTTTGCCCCACTTGTGGGTTTTTTGTTTCTGAAAATCACACTTGTTCATCTGGAACTGCTTCACGGGGTGTTTTACAGGTTTTTCCTTACCATAAAATACATGTGAAGTTAGCAGTGCTGTTTCCTAGTCAACATAGGATAACGACCTCTTCTCCTGGAGATCTCTTCCAGGCATCCCTAGATCTAGAGATCTAATATAAATCTTCCTAAAATAACTGGGTTGGATGGTACCTAATTTGAGGGCACTGTTTGGTGTGTTTCTATTTTGTTTGGATTGCTTTAGAACCAACAAGTCTATTTGGTCGCAGCGACCCGGCCAAACGAGCTCGTCTCGCGCGTGTCGTGTTCTCGGGTGCGGAGCAGAGCCCGGCTCGTCTGCAGGGCCGTCAATCGCGACGACAGAAATGGTATTTTAGGCTGACCTAGATTCGGAGGGGAGGGAGGGGCCTCGCTGGGAATTTGGGAGGTTTCCGGAGCGCTGCGTGACGCGGGGACGCGGTGACACCGGAGCCGGTGGGCGGCCGGGATCGTTTGGCCTGGCCGGCTCCGTCCCGCGTTATGGAGTGGCCCTCGTTCCGCTCCGTGTCCATGCGGAGTCTCGCGGCCGCCCGGCCCTGCCCATGGGGACTGGGCCCGCGCTCGGGGGGTCCCCGGGGCCTCCTCAACCCTCCAGCCGCGCGCAGGACATTTCAGATCAGCTTTATAAATAGTTTTAGTTGCTTATCATAATCACAAGGAAAAGCAACATTCTTCTGCTTAAAAAAATTTTTTGGCTTGAAAGTTGCTTTTTGGGAAAACCACATGCACACACAGAGAAGCAAGCTGCCAGAAGAGGTGAAAAATATTTTTTTATTAAATTTAAATGAGACTGTTTTAGGGCCGGAGCAGTCGCCGCGCTCCGGTGCTGATGGACTGTGATGGCCCCGGCCCTGGGGGACCTGGGGACAGTGCCCGGCCATAGGGCCGGAGCAGGGGGACCTTGGGGACAGTTCCCGTCCGTGGGGCCGGAGCAGGGCCCACGCTCCATCCACGCGGGGTTACACCGGGAAGGCGGCTGTTGCTCTTCCTCCCGCGGGAGCGCGGCCAGGCCGCCCTTTCGGGTGTTCCTCTGGCTGCTCCTTGGGCCGTTACCCCAACGTGTGGCGCCTGGTGACACACGGGCCGGCAGCAGCTGCCCCGGGCCCAGCGCAGGTGCCACCGTCCCCAGGTGACGAGGGGGCCCCCCGGGGCCTGCCCGGCGCCTGCTGGGGAGGCTGCTCGGAGCCGGGTGTCCCGGGTGGCCGTGGTGCTGGTGTCCCGGGTGAGTTACGGGGTGTCCCGGTGAGTTAGGCCCCCCGGGGCCTGCCCGGCGCCTGCTGGGGAGGCTGCTCGGAGCCGGGTGTCCCGGGTGGCCGTGGTGCTGGTGTCCCGGGTGAGTTACGGGGTGTCCCGGTGAGTTATGGGGTGTCCCGGGTGGCCGTGGGGCCCGGTGTCCCACTGAACGGTGACAGGGGGGACACCCCTTCGCGCAGGGTTGTCCCCGCAGGAGATCCTGGCCCCTAACACGGTGCCGGGGGGGGCACCGGGGCCC